CAGATCCCCCTTTTTTTTAATTCTTTAATTCAAGCCAAGCAAGTGAGAGCAATTTATTCTCTGTGCAGCTGGGACTGGCAGGGAGGGGGGCAAACCAAGAGGTGGAGGACGGAGAGATGAGCCCACGGGGGTTATAAATACCCAGCACAGAGGCCTCTGGTTTACATCCTGCACCCCTTTTTTGTTTGCTTCCCACAGAACCTCTGGTTTGCCAACCCCGGGGGCAGCAACAGCATGCCCAGCCGGAGCCACAGCTCGGTGCAAAGGACGCGCTCGCTGCCGGTCCACACCTCCCCGCAGACCATGCTGATGTTTCAGCAGCCAGGTAGGAAGCAAACATTTGGTTTTACACTTATCCACAGCCCGGTGAGATGAGAGGAGGCCGTGTGAAAGGAGCCGTGCCAGTGAGGTGAGCCTCGCTGCAGGGTCGTTGCCCGTCCCGGTGTGGCACGCTCGCGCACGCTCCCGGCCACACTCACTGCGCTGACACTAGTTGGATTACTGGGTTGATTGAGCTGGAAACATCACTGGAGGGATTTTTGACCCCATAGATAGAATGCTGTGGGTTGGAAGTGACCCACAAGGATGATGGAGTCCGACTCCTGTCCCTGCACAGGACAATCCCAACATTCACACCATGTCCCTGAGGGTCTTGGCCAAATGCTGCTGGAATCTTGTCAGCCTTGGTGCCATGAGCACCTCCCTGGGGAGCCTGTTCCAGTGCTCCACCACCCTCTGCCTCAAGAACCTTTTCCTCATGGCCAACCTCACCCTCCCCTGCCACATCTTCCTGCCATGTCCTCTGCTCCTGGCATTTGTTGGTGGCCAGAGAGAAGAGATCAGCGCCTGCCCCTCCTCTTCCCCTTGGCAGGAAGTTCTAGACCCCCATGAGATCTCCTCTCAGTCTCCTCTTCTCCAGGCTGAACAAACCAAGTGCCTTCAGCCTCTCCTCATACCCTTCCCCTCCAAACCCTTCACCAGTTTTATGGCCCTGTATATAACAGTGCTGGTGCCTTACCTGGCTTCCTTCCGAGGGGCTTTGTGTCAGGCAGGGAAGGTGGTAGCTCTTCCATCACCTTTTTTGTTCACACATGGATGTGAAGACACAGTGAGTAAGAACTGCCTTTGTGTGCTGGAGGGAAGTTCTTTTCACAATGCACGTGAAAGGAAATGGTGCTCTGCCAGTGCTTCCTTCCCAAACACCACCAAAATGCTCCCATGTGGAGGAGAATCCTCTGAGTTGGAGGGGAGGTCCCTGCTAAACCTGAACCCTGAACTTGGAGCATCATTCCCATGAGGACATTGATGCCTTTTTCTCTCTGTATCACTTCATTAGCCTTTGAACGTGCCTTTTCTTACCAACACAGTGACAATTTATACTGCAGGACAGGGAGTTCCACCCCTCCAATAAACTAAACCTCATCCATAAGCTTCTGCCGTGATTTCAGCTTGGCAACTCCTCTCCCATCACATACCTGCGGTGTTTTAACTGCAGAATTTAGGCAGCAAGTGTCCTGTACAGCAAAAGCAGCGTCTGTTCTTGGGTATTGATTCAACACCAGGACAAGGGCACATTTCTGCAGGAGCTGAAGGAGAATAAATAGATTTCTCTTTGTTAGCCTGCGGTGAATGAGGGCATAGGAGGATTAGAGAGCCAAAGATGCGGACCGAGTCACGAGGAAATTAAGCAATAATGTGGAGCTGGGCTTCTGAAACACTTCTCATCAGGCTGAGGGGACCTCAACCTTCCTGGACCTCATCCCGTGATCCTGCAAGCTGGTGGCAAGCAGGAGGTGCCAGCCATTGGTAGCAAAAGCTGTATTTGCAAAGCTTTCTGCTACCAAGGGGAGGGCATTTTGGTGCTGTATGGATCAAACCAAACTTCATCCCCCACCTATTTTTGTGCTCACCCCACCAGGGACGTGGCAGCAGGGCCGTGGGTGACTGAGCAGCAGCTGAACCAGCCATGGAAAAGCCAGCCAGTGGCACTGCCAGTCTGTGCTGCCATCCCATGTCCAAGCATTCACCCTGCCTGTGCACTGCCTGCACAGGCAGCTCCCAGCCCCGCTGCTCCCCACGACCACTTGGACATTTTACATGTATCCAGGATTTTTTTCCAGGGTCTGAGCAAGGGGAGAACCTGGGGCTGAACCTTCCCAGGGTGAAGGGTCCTGTTCCATCCCCAGCACCTGAACCCCTCATTTCCATCTGCCTTCTGCTGCAGTGCCATTGAGTCCCCCAGATTTACCCCTTAGCAATAATTTCCATCTGCCTTCTGCTGCGGTGCTGTTGAGTCCCCCAGATTTACCCCTTAGCAATAAGAAGAGGGGGACAATGACTATTTTTGCAAACATCTCTTGCTGGAGGTGATCACACCGGGAAGTGAAATGCTGCCAGAGTCCTTCCATGCACTCAGACCCTCCGGGGCATCTTCGGGGTGGTTTCCTACCCCATGTGGTGACAGCAGAGCGTGCAGGGGGTGCGGGGCGGGCAGGCAGGGTCCTTACCAGGTCCCCTGACCGAGGTCTCTTGTCCCTTTTCTCCCTGCAGAGTTCCAGGTGCCGGTGACTGAACCTGACATCAACAACAGGCTGGAGTCCCTGTGCCTGAGCATGACGGAGCACGCGCTCAGCGGTGAGCACTCCCTCCTCCTCGGGCTCTTCCAGCACGTCCACACCACCTCCACCGAACCCCCCGGCACCTGCCCCGCACCCCCAAAAAGCTGGGACAGGCTGTGGCTGTGAGGGGACAGGATGGCAGCGGGGCTGGATGCAGGGATGCTCCCAGGGATGCTCCCGAGGGGAGTCAGATGGGGACATTGGCTTCTCTCAGCAAGGCAGCTGGGGCAGAGGGGTAAAACCGAACGCAGGGATCACAGCCAGCACTACTGGAGTCTGTGCTTGTTAGCCACTAGTTAGCTTGTTAATTATAATTAGTATTAGCTCACTAGTTTGTTCTTAGTTCTCGATAAAGCCCTTGCCACTGGAGTGCTGAAATGGTTCACAGGTTTTGGAGTATTTTACCCTTCTGCCACCAGCGCTCCCCGTTTGGCTGTGGGGGGTGCAGGGTGCTGTGCCGGGCGTGGTGCTGGTGGCTCCTTGCCCACCCTTGGGGTGGCTGTGGGTGCCAGCCCAGGTGGATGGATAGTGGGCATGGTGGGGGGAGCAGGACCAAGTGGAAGAATGGGCAGAACAGGTGGAAAAGAAGTGGAAAAATGGGCAGAACAGGTGGAAAAGGCAGCAGCAGCAGCACGATGGAGAAGCTGGCACAGCAAAAAGTGCTGGCACAGCAAAAAGCACCGGTACCAGAAACACCCGGTGCCCTTCACCGATGCATCGGACCCCCAAGCATGAGCAGTGACCTCCCCAGCGATGGAACGAGCGTGGCCACCTGCATTTCC